ATATATATATATATATATATATATATATATATATATATATATGTATATTTAGAACATAAATTTATTTAAATATATTAGAAAAATTCTAGAAATTCTGCTTTAAAATAACTAAAGCATATTTTTTGATGCACTAAAAACAATTATTGTCGATCAATGCAATGGCCGAAGAATTTTACGTTTTTGCGCGATGTCTGCTTAGTATTGAAATTTTTGAAGATCGAAAGGAAAAAAAAATCTTTTGCTTGCCTCTGACTTTGAATTTATCGCCTTGATCGAAATGACCTTTTTTCTTAAATTTTGCCAATTTTTTTAGATTTACTTTTGATTTAATCAGCCAGTGGTCGTAATGTATTCTTTGCGGCCATCTATAGACAGATTGTCCTCTTTTTGACACGCTGTAATATTTCTTCATAGTGTTAGTGTTACCCTGCTTATGCGAATCTCAATTTATCTTTTACTAATTATAAGAAAAAAGAAAACCGATTGCAGTAACTTCTTACGGTTTTTTGATTTGATCTGACCCATGCGTTTATCACCGATAGGAGACTTGGGCACTATTATGACTTGACTGAATGAAATTCATTTTATATCGCTAAAATAGAAATATTTTGGCAGCACAATCCCGATACATATGTTCATATATTAAAATCGCAAAATGAAAGGTAAAAAGTCTGGCTATATATAAGTCGGCTATATCGGCTAAAAAACTTAAAAGAGTAAATTGGAATTATTTCTTTCAATCACTTGAAACCTATGGCATATTACTCTACAAATCCGCATAAATTGTTCTCGTAAAAAAAATTTGCTGTAAACGTATCTACGATTGATTGCATATCTATCGACTACCCATCTTTTGAAATACCAATTAAGGACGTAGAGCTTCTTCTCAAGGAAAACAAACTAAGATTAATAACACTTTTTCTTATCAGTCTTGTCAAATTAATTCCGAAAATCAATGGTGCGGTTATAAAAATTTTAACAAATTATATATGATATACGACAGGATGTACGAGAGAATATACGATCGAGATATCGTATAAATGTATATTCACTTCATTTAGCAATTGAGCACGATATACAATATGGTGATGGGTATTAAATAATATCACCTTTTTCAGTCTGAATTTTCGAGGAGTTCTTTAATTCTTAATCATTGTCTTCTTTTATAAAAATATTTAAAGCTTATAAGTTATACATATAATACAAATTTTGAAGTAGTTTATATATATATATTCATTTATTTAGATTACAGATTAGATAATTAATGTGTATTATATATGTATATTGTTTATATCTGGTTGTTGCTTAGCTCATATAATTATACACTTATTATATATATACACATATTATTATTATTATACATATACAAATATGTATATACATACATATATATACATATATATATATATATATATATATATATATATATTTGTAAAACGTTTTATTATGAAACATACATATGTATATATATATATATACATATACATAATTAGATATTTAGTAATAATAAAATTCAATTTCGTATATAGAAAACTTACACTTCCATCGTATTTATCAAGTATCATCAGTTCCTAATACCTTTGTTTTCCATAAAAGTAAAATTCCTTTACTTTGTTATCCAATTAGTAAAAAACTAAAAGAAATGAATTAATTAATTAATATAATATAAACACTTGTAGCTAGTAAAAAAAAAATAAATAAATAACAGTTTTTGTTAATTTATTTTTAAAATAGTTACTAAAGCAAAAAAAAAAAAAAAAAAAAAATTATTAAGTAAAATTTTTGAAAAATGTAAAATACAAATACGCTTTTTAAATTATGTAAAGAAAATTTGCTTATTAATTTTTATATTTTTTTATTTAATTGTTTTTTTGTAATTATTAAAAAATGATCTAATGTATCTGTTAATAGTTGACTGTATAATTATTTCATGCAGGCAGTACTTTAAAAGCAAAAATATTAATTTCATGACTTTTCTCTAAATTCAATTAAAATCGTTCCAGAGTTCTAATTGAAATTAATTGTAAGAGCAAGTAAAAACACTATGCTAGGCCACGATCCATCATTACAGTTATTCATATAATGATACACCCTGGTACCTAGTACGTTCTAGTGGTGTACGGTATAATAATGACACACTTAAAAACGAATTGTCTTCGATAGATACTTTTAAAAATAAGGTTTTAATATATTTTCGCAAATTTTAAAGCCTTCACCCTAGAATAGTATACTATATTGCTTCAGTTCGTACCATTCAGGAATAATCCTTAGAATAAACCATGTATGCATGCTGTTGATCGAGTGAACCAATCTTTCAATGCCCTTTCGACGATTTGTCCATCTGTAGTTTTGCTTTTGGTCGCAACAGCTCTAAGTAGACTGGTACGAAAATTCGTTTACAATCATCCCCTCAATAATCAAGAACTTGTAGCTCTACACCGAGTATAGATCTAAAGTCTATAATAAATATTTATTAGGGTCACTAGAAAAGTCAACGCAAATATAATGATAGCGATTGCCCGAAATTATACGCTTGAACTCAAGAACAAACTTTCTGGAAATGGTATCTAGCCTCCTGGGTTTGGGGTCGCTATTGATACTGAAACGCTGTCATTATGAAATGTGAAATAGAGGACTCAAGCATCACACCTTAGTTATAAGCTTAAATCCGCAGATTATGTGTAACACGCGGCATTGCAATTTTATAAACCTTATAAATTATTTATCAGTTTCTTCACTTCGCTTCTTGTCGCACGCTAATAACGAACAGCTTCGTGACAATTATACGTTCATTCTAAGCCAGCATTTTATTGAACGCTACAATTAATTGTTAAAAAATTGCATACATGCTTTCTATATAGTATATAAAGTATCGACGGATGTCTCTAAAAAAAACCCAGGCTGAAGGTATGTTCTTGCTTGTTCCCTTATTGTTTGTTACCTTATTTACTGAAAGTGTAAGTCTTCCAAACTCTCTGGACCGGTTTTAATAACGTTATTGTCCGACTAATTAGTTTTTTTTTTTTTTAATTTTTAGTACATATTTTTAACCCTTCAAGTTTTGATTTTGTGCTGAAAAGGATTTTTACATTTTACTAATCCTCTTAACTTTTATAACAAATATGCTTACATACATAGATTTACTCCGATGGTAACACCCTAGACATTATAAACGTAAAAACCCCCTCCTATATATACACATGCATAGATATACATATACATATATATATATATGTATATACATGTGGATATATGTATATATATACATATATATATCTATATTTAGAGCAATATATATAAAAATTCTTTTTATTTGTAAACTGATTTTTTCCCCCAGAAAGAAAAACTAAATAAAAGAAATTCTTTGAATAAAAACGCTTGTAAGTTTATTAATTGTTTATATTCGAAAAAAAAAACAAATATATAAATGGATACCTAAGACGAAAGAGCAAAAGGTTGTTATTGAAAAAGGTTTAAAAAACATTTGTTATTTCCTTGAAAGTCTTCAAATAAATAAAATTAAGTCACCAACAAAAAAATTAAAAACAAAAAAAAAAAAAAATAAGAAAAGATGATATATTAATAAATAATATCAATTTGTGATGGTCTCTGGATATTTTTGGATAATTTTTAAGCTTTTTAAACTGAAAACATAACAAGCGTTTTTAATCAAAGAATATTTTTGTAGCATTTTTTTAAATCCTTTCCTTTTTTCGTTATTGTGAAAAATTTACATTTAAAATTACTATAAAAATTAAAAATTAGTAAACAGCAAGAAAAAAAACCATAACTTATCTCTTTACCATGAGCCCATCACAAAATTTTCTAAACGAGTAAAAACCTTCTTCCAAAAGCAAAGTGACTTAATTTTATTTCTCTTTCCTATTTTACGTTTTCTTAGAAAATTACTTTTATCCTAATATCTTGCCTTCTTTCTTAATTTTTTTTTTAAATTATTTAGAGTAATCGCTTGTCAAACGTATCGGAACAAATTGAAAAGTTGATTGACGAGAAATGTCGTTTTCTAAATAAAACTGGCACAGCAAAGTCGAGTGCATTGCATTTGGCCAATTGGATGAAGGGTCAATTAGATAAGCAACAGGAGCAGGCTCGTTTAGCCGCTGCACGTTCGCCAGAGACTTTGGCTCCAGAAGACGAGCATATCTTGTATACGGATAGCGATCAAGACGAAAGGATTACGTATTGGACTCGTCAGCAATTGGAGAAGCGCACCAAAGAACTAAATTTGGTCAAAGAAAATGGTTATATACACGCTAAGACCAATGGATTGGGCAAGCGCTTGAGTGGAGTTGAGGAGATAAGCATGAGCGATAACTTCTCAGAAGGTGTGTCGCAGTCACACAGTACCACATCAGATAGCCAAGTAAGTAAATGATTTCTCGCTTGAATATAAAGCAGTAGAGTTATATGTTTCAAGTCGCCCATCTCCTTGCAAGCAGATAACAGTACGTTCTAGTCCCATTGTACTCGATAAATTAGCCGTTTGCCGGCATTGCCATAAAAATTGCCAACAAAATCAAAATTCATCCCCATCAGCTGTAGGGAAAACCGGAGTTGGGCAAACTCAACCGTCATCACCACCACCACCTTGTACGAAATCCATAAAAACTAATCTGGAAGATTCATCTAACACCACCGGCTTAATTAGTAATTCATTGAAAGTTCAGCACAGTCAATCATCGCCAAATCGTTGTTGTAAGATAAACGGTAGTGGTAGTCGAGCAAGTAGTGTAACTAGCATTTCATCTAGTACCGTAACTGGTGAACATCCTAGTGAGCGGTCATCATCGAAATTAATAGCCAGTAGTAGTAAACGTGAGACAGGCGATACTGAAAGTGATGTAGCTCAACTCATAAGTGACGATGTTTATCAATCTGAAGCCACCGACGAGGGAGGACTCGCCAGTAGTATCAGCGGCAGTAGCGGAGTGGAGGAAGTCCGCAAACTCATCACCCACAACATCCATAAATTACGAATTTTAGATGAACACAATGAGGCCAACGTTCTATTAAATGGCCACTATTTAGGCTCGGGAGGGGGCGATGAGTGCACACGTAACGAAAAACAACAAATGGAAGAAGAAGCCGCTAAACTAGCTTCGCCGAAACGTTTTAGAATAACACCTCAGGTCGCCAAAGAAGTTGATGAAAATAATGAGTTAGCCGATCAGGAAGTGCTCACTACTGTAACCGTAACCGAGATAGCTACCGTGGTTAAAAATGAACCTCCCTCCCAAACACCTAAATCTCCTTCTAAGCCACAAACACCTAAACCGACAAAATCACCTAGCAAATTAAGCCACAGTTCCGGTAGTCCTTGCAAACAATTCGTGCCATGTAATTGCCCATGCAGACCAGCCGATTTTGCCAATACCACCCTCAGCCCAGATGAATTAGAACACGAAACTTGCAAGCTCTTAGAGTCCCCAAGAAAGTCACCTGTTTTAACTTCCAATAAGCAGGAAGACAAACTGGAAGAACTTTATGAAAACATACACAAAAACTGCAAATGTATTTGTGGCGGTGAAGAAAGTGACAAAACTGATCCACAGGAAGAAGATAATGTTGAGAATCATGCCATCAAAGCTGATTCTGATGAAGAAGAAGATCTCTCCCTGATGTTAATAGGGTTAGCTCAACTTACTCCAGCGGCTAAGCTACTAAATATGAAAACTCCTACTGCTCCCATGCCAACACCTACAACAACTAGCTCGTGCTATATAGAAAATGGTTTTGTTCCTACCATAGCTGTAGTACCGCCGACACCAGATTCAGTGCTTACTAAGACTTCCACTAATGTTTGGGATAACAGCGGAACTCATATGTCTGTAACTACTAGCACGGCTACTAATCTGCTTATTAGTAATGTTCCGCGGCAAGCCATCATCGAAAATATACCTGAAGATTCTTGTGATGAATCGCCTTTAGACGAAGAACCACCATATCGTCCTATGAACACCACTCTACGGCGATACGGTACTATGTCCAGCTTAGAAAGATTACCTTCGGAAGATCGTTTAGAGCCTGCGGACAACATGCCAGAATACCAGGATGACGATGAAGAGGATGATGACGATGACGAGGAGTTAATGGATAAGGCACGGGCTGATAATATCGAATTGGACAACGAAATCCGTGTAGTAACTAAAGCTCTTTACAATCACCGCAACGACGACGACGACGACGAAGACGATGACGATGACATCGATGAAGAAGCTGACGAATTATTATCTGGGGCTAAATCAAACGGTGCAGCTTGGGCAAGTCGCGCTTCAACTTTCGTAGCAGGAAAAATGTCATTCTTTGAAGAATCTCGAGCCTTTATAGACAAATACTTAGGACGCTGGAACCAAGATCATTCCTCAAGTTCGATACAAAATAATAATTCAGAAACCGACGAGCAAATGGATGAATGCACTTCAGGTGCTACTTCCGGAGAAGAGGTTTGGGGCACTCCTACCAGTGGAGGCGATAATGATGAACTTCACTTAGCAAATTCAGAAAATACACATTCCGTAAGTTATCGCCTCTAAGCTTCGCAAAATAATCATAACATTATTGTACTCTGCAGTCACCCACCAAATCTAGTAATTCACTGAACGACGATGATGATACTGAACTTATGATGGATGAACTATTGATGGCCCCGCCCATGACCGCCAGTACCATACGAGGCTTACTACCACGGTATGTTCAGAATATGCAGAATCAGATTATTTTTATATCGATTCCAATAGTAGTCAATTAAATAAATTAATCTTCTTTTAGATTTGAGTAATTATTACGTAACTCTCCTAAGAACCGATTGTATAGTAATTATGTTCCATTCTTATTTTTTCGAACCTTTCTCTTTTACTTTTAATCGATTATCTGTAGTTTTTACAGGTTATTATCATTTTTTTTTTCTTCTATATTGTTGAGAAATATTTTTATGACATTTTGTTTCACATCCATTCACTCATTGAATAGATAAACAAGACCAAAAGATTAACGAGCATCATATCACGTAGTTGTAGCTTAGATAGGAATAGAAATCTTTTAGTTTGTGTACATCATTACATGGTCAAGCATGGTACTTTTTGGGTGCTTATACGTTAAGTTCATTCAGATTGTCTATGGGTTTGTTCAATACAAATGGATATAAATGGGCGCTGGGTCGAAACACAGTTATAGTAAATGATAGGGTAGGACATCCCAGTCCCTACCATACAGTATAGCTGTCCGCCGCTCTCTTTAAGAGATAGCCTTATCATAGCCTTAAATTCTTAACATATTTTTTATTTGTTTTACAATGCCGTCTCTGCGTCGATGTACTTGTAGTTCAGCTTAAATTCTGTAGGTGAAAATGAATAATATGGGGGTTGAAGCAATAAGGAATATTTTCTCTTCCGAATATAGACCTTTCTCGGGGAATCTCGAATATAGATAAGCGAAAATCCAATCTACTCAAAAAAGTATTCTGTGGTTATGAATATGGAAAGTCGTAGTATACTCTGACAAGACATCGTATAAGAGTCATTACGGCTGTGACGGCGGAATCGAAAAACTATTGCACAATATATTCAAAAATGCATGAGAATGCTAGCTAGGCTTTAAGGCAAAGATAAGCCCCGGTATAGCTTTAGAAATGTGTCGCGTATATTTATACCTTCTATTCGTTCGCGGGGTTTCATAATTCCAGTTGTTAGACCGACGTAATCATACCTTTATTCATTTTACCTGATATTGTACATTTTTCTTGTATAAAGTAGTAAATAATCTCATGAAAATTCTCTGTAATAAAAAAAAAACTTCACCAATACATCTACCATTAACAACTACTGTACAACCGATTATCATACACCAAAATACACCCTCATCACATCAATCAATACATACGTATGACTTGCCGTATGTATGCGAAACACATGTAGACGTCGTCTAGAACCACTATTCGAGGAGGAAACGGAAAGTGATGAAGAGAAGACTCAACAGGAAAGTGAAGAATTAAAAAAGGTGGGTGATCTTTAAACCGAAAAGAGCTTTCTGCATGCTTAAAAAGTTAAAAAAAAGAATATATATATATATATGATAAATGCTTTTTTTCGACAAATAACTTTCTTTAAACATAAACAATAGTTTACTTTCTTCATAAGGCACCTATTAACAAATGTTTTGTGTTTTCAATTCTTTTTTATGATTTTTTCTCAACGTCTTTTCTTCATCCTATTTAAACATACGCCTTTTTGCAAACTCTCTGTGTTTATAAATGTATGTGTATCTATATATATATATATATATATATATATATATAAATATATGTGTGTGTTTCTGTGAATCTCAACACTACATCTTTCATCTTTAACATCTTGATTTTCTGTCATCATCACGATCATCATCATCATCATCATCATCATCATCATCGTCATTATCGACATTATAATGATGTTTCAATTTATACAACTTTCATAGAGAGTTGTAGTGCGTTTAGTTAAACTCTAGCAAAACGTTCAATACTGTAAATTAATACAAATTAAAAACGACTTATGAATCTTGTGGCTTCATGTCGCCGCACTATCTCAATCACCATCTACCTATCACCATCACAATCACTAAAACTTAACTAACCATCACTAAAACTTAATCTCAAAAATAAAAAAAGTCACCATCACGCCAAGTTTATGTCTTCAAATAACCAAAAGCCAGACGCGTAATAATTTTGAATTGCTCGCTTTAAACCAGAATTGATTAGTTGAATTCTATTCCACACAATTGGTAGGGGGAAACAACGACAAATGGCCACTATTTAGAGGATTCGGAAGCTGGAAGCTCAAGCGACGAGGATCCTGTGAACGAAGCGGACTACGACGAGGAGGACGAGGAGGATCTGACCTCGACGGAGGATCGTCTGCAGCCGAATCTGCAAACGACCATACTGGGGCCACGACCTCTGCGGAATCCCACGGCCAACCACAGCCTGCCGTCAACGGTACTGAAGGCCTCATCCTGCGAGTACCTACTGGAACCGCGTGCTGCGAAACCATTAATAACGTCAGCAACGATCAACAACAACGATCTCGTAACTGCGTGCAATTCCGAAACCGTGACGCCGATTATATCCTCCATGACGTTAACAACGACGATGACCACCTCCTCAACAACAGACAAAGATGTTTCTATGAAAGTCACAGCTGCAACGACACAGAGTCTGGTTCACTCACAGACATCTACAACAACCAGCAACGTGAACGTCACTATCAAGCAAGAGAAAGACGAATGTTACTCCAGAATAGAGGAGGTAGCGAAGAACAAAACAATGTCTCGGCCAGCGAAGTTTATACCACCACCACCACCACCACGACGTCTCTTATTGACACGAACAAATCTAAAAACAGGTGGACCGTACACAGCAACAACAAAAGCAGTACGTGTGCTATTCTTTCAACTTATTTATTTATCTTAAGCAAAATTTTTCATTATATTCAAAGCCTTTGCCTCCAGTAAGATCTGGCGCTTCTGCTGACAATGGCTATTCAGCGGGTGCAGACGAAAGCGTCGACCCCACCGTTGGCATCATGAACGTCACACCTGCCTCCAAAATGACGCCGAGGAAAAGTCAACGACCGGATGTTTGCAATATCAAAACTTCCGAAGAAAATACCGAAGTAACGAAGGTACGACCATCGTCAACAATAATCGAGACGTCACTATTGGGAATGGTCGAGAAAAAGCCAGTCTCAACCTCATCAACAACAGTTTCGATGACGAACGAGAAGGAAAAAGTACCGCAACCAAAACCCAGGCAGACGAAGCAACAAACGCAGACTACCGATATAAGCAGTCGGGGAGACGAAAGAACTACAAAATCTCCATGTGCCCTAGCAGGAGTTGGCTCCGGTTTAAGTCCACGTCTAGAGATGCGTTTGGCACTCAATCACGATATTCTGGGCGACGAAGACTTGATATGCTACGATCCTGGACCAGATCTAACAACTATTCTAGGGTAAGTAAAACGGACCCAGCAAAAAATTAGAATTATGCTTATGGTGCGTATTTATCTAGGCACGACCTCTCCACATTTCACCGTCTGACGGGTCGCGATTTATTGAATCGCTCGGCCACGAATCGTGTTCAACCAAAAGAGGCTGTCATATCGTACTCTCAACAGCGAAACTCGAAGATGGATACGCCCACCGTGAATCGGCGAACACGCACCAGCCTGCAGTTACAACAGCAGACGCTGACAACAGCAGCCTCAGCAACGCCTTTCGTTGGTTCGGCACGTGTCGGCGGCGTTCCACAACACCTGCAGCCAAATCGAAATACATGGAGCAGTTCTGCATCTGCGGTTCCGAGCAGAGACGGGAACGTAAACGTCGCCGCCAATTGCAAAGATTACAGTTACAGCAGCGACGAAAACAAATTAAGCGATCTGGAAATCTTAGCGAGACGCGAGAAGATATATTGCATGTCTCAATTGAAGAGTGGCTCACTAGCCAGAACGGGGACAGCGACAACGACGATGACAACGTCAATGACGGCGACGATGAAGAGCAACAATTTATCGAGCAGCAGTCAAGCTCTAGCGATGATGACAATGACTACTACTACGACGGAAGATGTGAATGAAGGAACATCCCAGCGTACACGCAAATTGGTACGTGATGAAACGGCTCTAATGGATTTCAGTAAAGCCAATAAATTGTAGGTATCAAGGAACAGAGAGCGTGAATTTTGTGTTACATTTACTACATTATTCAATACTCTTACAGATTCAATTTTATCAAACGTCGCAACTCGGAATTATCTTCCTCGGCTAATTGTTCACAAATCTCGCTTAATGATTCTAATGCTAACAGCACACCGGTACATCGGGGTTCACCAGTATCGCCCAGAAAGGATAATGTAGGTGGCAAAAACGAACACAGAAAGAGAGCTAGAGACAAGGAGAGGTCTTGAATTAATCAAATGTTTTTGTTTGCAGGATAAGCCTTCCCTTAATCGTCGCCTTTGGAAGCATTTAACCAAACGACGCCGCGCTAATTCCGTGTCAGAAATTGCTGCCAGTTAATTACTTTATCTTTTTTTTTTTTTTTTTTTTTTTTTTTTGCAGAACCGCTTTATGGTCTGTGGAGAGTTTTGGAAAGTTTTTACTTGCTTTTTTGTCAATTTAGCTAGAACTGTAGTTAGAGTCGGTTAGAGTTGGGATATATGTAAGCATTTAGAGCAATTTTTTTCAATGTAACGAAAATGAAAGCTAATTTACTTTGTGAATAGATGAAGTCGAAAGAGCCTTAAAGTTTCAAAGTCGTAGAATTGATTTAATTTCAAAGTGATGAATACCTAGATTTTATTGTACAAACAGGATAAAAAACTAAACGTAAATTAAAGTTTTATTACATAAATAAAAAGTTTTCATTTATCCTCTTTTCTTTTCTTTTTTTTTTCTTGGTTAAGACTTAAGCGACATTTTTGATAGCGTGCCGTGGAGTTAGTTGATTTTAAAGTTTTTTTTTTTCCTTTTTTTCTATGTATAATAAAAACTATACGAAAAATCGCTTGTCCATCTAGTTTTATAAAAAAAAAAAAAAAAAAAACAAAAAAACAAAAGGATAATTATAATAAAAATTAATTTACTAATTAATTGCACATCTGAGAGACTCAATTAAATCCTGCCGTCATTAATGAAATTTTTTAAAGCAACATGTGACACAAGAATAAATAAAAATTAAAAAAAAAAAAAAACAAAAAAAATGAGAAAAGCAAAAATTGCAAAGGGAAAAGAACAACAAACACATATTTTTAGCTAACAAGTCTGTGTTTTTGTGTGTTTTTCTTTTTTGTTTTTTTTTTTTTCCTGATTAAGTGAACTTAACAGTTAAGCGCTAGTGTATGCTACACAAACTGCAAGCAAATGGCCTTAGATTAGAGAATATGTTTGAATAGAAGCATTAAAGAGGCAGAAATTTTATTTATATAATAAAAAATTACGATTTCAGAAAAAAAGTAATTTAAATAAAGAAAAAGCGAAAAGCGAAGAGCGAAAAGCTCGTTCTACTGCTTTTCACAAAAGATTTGGATATAATAATAAATCAATATGAAAATTGGAAATTAATTATATAAAAGAACATATAGATTTCAAACACCTTATAAAATTCTTCTTTACCATTTACATATGTTAACAAAATATAATAAAGACATAAATAACATAGAATACGATATAAAAAACGAAACAATCAAATCAAATAAACGTAGTGCACCTGTCAGGAATCGATCGTACGCGATATTCTGCTCTACACCGTCATAATATGGAAAATTTTATATGCCTTAGAGTAAATCTTAGTTTTTAGATCTGAGCATGAGTTTATAGCGAAATTCAGTTCAATTTCCGCCATTTCTGCTATCCCCTACGCTTCATTATATTATATACGAGATTAGCAAGCTTTGTTTTGCGTTACATGGAGTGGAGTGCTATCGATGCATATCTTTTCAAAATGCTGCCGCAAGCTATAGCTTTAATGTAATGTACAATATTTTTTGTGTAGGCGCGTGTGGAAGAATTTTATAGGAAGCCATGCATAGAGGCAGGATTAATGAGCATATTAGCTAATTTCATGGAAACATTTTATGCACATTCGAGCCTGTTAATAGTATCATACGAAGTTGATCTGCATTAGACGCCGGACAACTAAGCCAAGGCAAACTTACTCAAAATATGTTACCTAAATCAAGAATGCACTTAAAAGAATAACACTTAATAATAATAGTTTCTAGTACATTAGATTGATTTACAAAATGACACTCTCTCAAATTGGGAAGAATTTATTTAACACTTTTAGCAAATAGTTAACATAGCTGTTGAATCTTTAGTGACTTAGGGCTGAAAACTATATTTGTTTAAAGAAGTAAATTACAAAATATTCACTGAAAGGATGCAGCATCCCAAGCTCATGTATCTAAGAAGCAAATTGTTTTTTGTTACTTCTAGGCATGTTAGCCATGGAATCGCTAGCTTGGAATCACTATTTAATGACAAGCCTTAAAATCTTATTTTGATAAATAATTGTGCCAAACTACAAATCGATCCAGATTTTCCGCCCTTTATTAAAGGTATCGAGTGTAAATTTTCGCTCTTTCTCTCTCTTTCTCCTCATTATTACGAACTTTTAAAGCCCAATACCAACAGTGTACTTATCAATCTTGCTGAACGTTAGCGTGCTCACACATATAGGGAAGATCTACTGAGTGGATCGTAATCGAAATTACTGTAATCGCAACCTAAAGGAGCAAAAGCACTTTGTATTTATTCTTCAAAAATATTCATAATTAATATCAAGAAGGGATGATATATGAACTTTTCGATTTTAAGAACTCCTACGTATACATTATGATTTTAGTTCGCGTACGGTTTTTTATTTATTTATTTTTTAATGTCTTGAAGAAGGCTATTGCCCCAACTTATAGTGTGGATTAAAAGGCTGCCCGATAGCTTACATCGTATGCTCACCTGCCTTTAAAACGCTATCGCATTTGGGATTTGAACCTTGCGCCCATTGATTGATGTTCCTTTGCCTATTTGGATCATGCGGGTATACCTTTATGAAAACCAAGTAAATGGACGAATAAATTAAGACAATTCCCAAAAAAAAGTTATTGTAAGGCCATTCATTCAATAAACCTTTGGCTCCTCTTACAGTTGCTCTGATCTTTTTGAAATGGTGTAGAGTACATGAAATTTGGAAAAAGATATAAATCGAATCAAAATGAAATAAAAGCGAAAATAAACGAGAACAAAAATAAATAAATAAAGTTTTTAAACAATTAAGAAGTCATTTTAAATTAAAAAATTAAATAATTTTAAAAAAAACTTAAACTCTTCAAAAAAGTATATCAAAAAATATATTGCGAAAGAAAGCAACGAGTTGTAAAAATTAATTTTTTAAATCATAAGCTTTAAATTTAATTATTTCTTAAGTAAAATATAACAAAAAAAAAAAAAA